AAAAACCAGAGAACTATAGACCAATATCTCTTTTGAATACAGACTATAAAATCTATGCGAAAGTATTAGCCAACAGGTTGATGCCAGTAATCCAAAAGGTGATTCATGATGATCAAGCGGGATTCATCGAGGGCAGACACATGAAGGATAATGTAAGGCAAGTAATAGATTTATTGGAATATCTTGAGAAGAATAAACAGATTCCTGCAGTGCTGGTCTTTTTGGATGCAGAGAAGGCCTTTGATAGAGTGGATTGGAATTTTCTACTAAAGACTTTAAAAAAGATGGATTTTGGGGATCAATTTATACAGGCGATTTCAGCAATTTACCAAGAGCAAAAGGCACAGATTATTATTAATGGAAGTTTGACAATAGAGTTTAAAATTGAAAAAGGAACAAGACAGGGATGTCCGTTGTCCCCACTTTTATTTATTCTAACATTAGAAGTCTTGCTAAATACAATACGGGACTCTAATATCTTGAAAGGTATAATGATTAGGCAAGAGGATTATAGAATAAAGGCATTCGCAGATGATCTGGTTGTTACCCTATCACAACCAATGGAATCAATAATCTTGATGAAGGACATTATACAAGACTATGGTAAAGTTTCAGGTTTTAGACTGAATCCAAAAAAGACTAAAATGATAGCTAAAAATATGACACAAGATCGCAAACATGAGCTAGAAAGGAGGGCAGGTTTTGAGACTGTACCTAAGGTAAAATATCTAGGAGTTCAGGTTGCAGAATCAAACATGAAATTGTTTCAAAATAATTATGAGGTGTTGTGGCGAGAGGTGCAGAAAGACATGGAGATTTGGAAAAAACTGCAGCTGTCTCTACTTGGAAGAATAGCAGCAGTTAAGATGAACATTTTGCCAAGATTTCTTTTTTTGTTTCAAATGATTCCGGTGCTTAAAAGTGATAAACAATTGAAAGTCTGGCAAACTGGAGTGAATAAGTTTGTCTGGAACGAGAAAAAGCCGAGAGTGAAATTGAAAATTATGTAAGATGTTCCAGAAAGAGGAGGTCTTAAACTTCCAAACCTACAGTTATATTATGATGCAGCAGCTTTAACTTTAACAAGTGATTGGTTTGGAAGGAAAAAGACTGGAATATTGAATGCAGAAAGTTTTGATCTCGAATTTGGATGGCATGCCTACTTATTTTACGATGATAAAGTTGATAAAGTATTTAAAAGTCATATACTTAGAGACTCTTTGATGAGAGTTTGGAAGAAGCACCGACTCAAATGGGATTATAAAATACCGCTATGGCTGGATCTTGGTCATACTTTGTGGAATACAAATATAATGTCACTCGGGGGGTTTTTATACAAAGAGGTTCTTTTTACAGATGTGGGCAAATGGCAGCTGAAGACATTGCAGACACTGTTGGACGAAGGGATTAATCTAACATGGTTACAATATAATCAATTACAATTGAGATGGAAAGAGGACCAAAAAACTGATATTATGTTGCACGAAGAAGAATTGGTTAGACATATAAAAGAGAAAGGTCCAATGCATATCAAAAGGCTTTATAATGTTTTGTTAGAAAGGGATTCAGAAACCGAATTAGTTAAAGATTGTATGATTAAGTGGGCACAAAATTTTGAAGAACCAGTGATGTTGGAAACATGGGAAAAAATTTGGGTTCAGAATGTTAAATTTACACAGTCGCAGAACCTGAGGGAAAATTTCTATAAAATGTTTTATAGATGGCATTTAGATCCCAAAAAGTTGTCATGTATGTACCCTAATGTTCAGCCAAAATTTTGGAGATGTGAATGTTTGGATGCTACGTATTATCATGTTTGGTGGACCTGTAGGAAAGTTAAGGCTTTTTGGATAAAAATCTGGTGGGTCATGCAGAATGTTTTGAAGAAAAAAATTCAATTTTCTCCACAATTGTTTTTATTGGGTATAGTTAAGGGTTTTACATCGGGTGAAACAAAACTGATATTGTATATGATAACAGCAGCAAGATTGTTGTTAGGTAAATATTGGAAAAATGAAGCTTTGCCCACTATTGAGGAATGGACTTTGAAGATGGCCAGTTTTGCAGAGATGGCGAAGATTTCAGCATACTTAAAAGATTGCTCACAAGAGACTTATGAATGGGAATGGAAAAGATGGATAGAATATGTTCAGAACAAATATCAAACTAGAAAGTATCAAATAGCTTTTATTTGAAAATAATGTTTTAGAAATATTTTAATGTAATGGGGTAAAAAGAAAAATTATATAGGGGAGGGAGGGGTTCAAGTTTATTCTTAAGTGTCATATTAAGGGTTTTTTTGTGTGTGTGTTTTTTACGAGTTATGAGTATATTAAAGGGAAGTCTGGGGGGAGGGGAGGGTTAGGGAGGGTTGGGGAGATGGGGAAGTTTGGGGGGGTGGAGGGGGGGGAAAAGGGGTGAAAATGTAATTGTAAAACTTTTGCAATAAAAAAAATAATAATAAATTGGAAAATTCTAGCCTTTTAAAGTGACAATATGGAGAATTGGGAGGATGAATGTGAGACATTAAGGGAGATGTTTGAAAAAATAAGAGAAGCATTTAAGGGAAATAAGGAAGCAGAGGATTGGTTAGAATGCAAGAAAAAAGAAAGAGAAAAGATGAATGAGAAGCAAGAGAAACAAGGGGAAAATATTGAAAAGGAAATAAATGAAAATAAAGATAAAGATGATTACACTGGGATTAACACTGATAGAATAAAAATGGATAAGAGAGAATACATCTCAAAACTGAAAAGAAGAGAAATAAATGGGGAAATATTGAGAGGGAAAATTAACAGAGTGAAAATTAAAGAAAAGAGGCAGAAAGGGAGATATAAGAAAAGGAAGAGGAAGAAGGTAAGGGAATGGGAGAAAAGAATGAGGAAAGCATCAAGAAATGGGATTGTGGAGAGTTTAAAAGAAAATGATTAAGAGTCAGTGAAAATATTAATATGTTAATAAAGAGAAGGATGTTAGTTGTAGAAATTATGTGTGAAAATACTGTTTAATGTAAAATAAATCAGTAGATGAAATGTGAAAGAAAAAATGAACTATGGTTTTTTTTGAATTTTTTTTTATTTTAAAACAAAATCAAAACATAAAACAATCATCATTCCAAATAATTACAGACAGTCTGTCGATCGGTTAACATTCTTTTGTGCTTAATCCCATCTTCGAAGTACCAATATATATACTTCAGCTGACTGCTAGTTCAGCAGATCAGCGGATGAAATCTCACCAGGCTCAGGGTTGACTCAGCCTTCCATCCTTCTGAGGTGGGTAAAATGAGGACCCAGATTGTTGGGGGCAATATGCTATTTAGTATACTGTCTTTGGTGTAAGCCGCCAGAGTCCTTGGAGAGTGGGCGGCATAGAAATGTGACAAATAAATAAATAAATAAATAAATAAATAAATAAATAAATAAAACAAAAGCTTATTTCTCATGAAAAAGAACTTCACATATTTTATCTTTACATCAACTTCATGTTTCATATTTCATTTCCATGTTTTATTATCTATCGATTGATAAAACAAATCTCATATCAAATAATATTATTTATCTTCCTGTTCTCTAATTTCAAATGTCAATTTACTCATTTCAGCATATTCCATAATTTTCTTAATAACCTCATCATCAGTACGTAACTTCTCTCCTTTCCAAATTTTAGCAAATACAATTCTAGCCCCTGTTAAAACATTCACAATTAAATATTGCAATTCTCTATTGTATGTCTCTGGTAAGATCCCTGATAAAAATAACTATGGTTTAAAGTCAATGTGTTTCTTTATCATTTTTTCAAACCACGTGTGTATCTCTTAGCTTCTACAATATCTCTTAGCTTCTACACATGTCCACCACATATGGTAATATGATCCTGAAGTCTGATGACACTTCCAAAATTTCTCCAATTTATTGTTGAACACAAAAAATGAACTATGTTTTTGATGTTGGAGGAAACACTAAGTGGAGAGAAATAAAAGCAACAAAAGAATTAATTGAAATTAAGATGGGAATTGAAATTGATATGTAAAATTGAATGAAAATGAAATGTTAGTAAATGATGTAAATGATAGACTTGTAATAAGTAAAAGAGAAGAAATACATTGTTAAAGGGAAAAAAGCAAGGGTTGGAAGATTATTTTAACAAAGGTTTCAAGGGAAAAAATGCAATAAGTTGAAATATTTGTTAATAATTAAAAAGAGGAGGGGAATTTCAAGTAATATTTTTAATAAATGAGAAAGATCGGGGTTGCCTGGACACCATAGTGGAAAATATTAAATTGAAAATGAATACAGCAATAGAGAGAGATGAAAGAGGAGTAGAGAGTAGAGTAAAGTGATAGAAGAGAGGGGGAGAAGAGAGAGGGATGGAAGAGAGGGGAGGAAGGAAGAGAGGGGAAATCAGAGTAGGAGAGAGGGCTAGACAAGGAGGAAGAAAGGAGGAGAAGCAGAAAGGAAGAGGAAGTAGAGAGGAGCAGGAGAGGAGGGAAAAAGAAAGTAAGAAGGAAAGAAGAGAGGGAGATGGCAGGATTGAGAAGAAAGATTGCTGTACAACAAAAAAGATGAAATGGAAGAAAGGCAACCCCGAACATATATAAAAACAAACTAAGATAAAGAATGAATGGTTAAAAAATAAAAGAGAATAAATATGAATAAGCAGGAAAATTAGAATTTGAGGGTGAATGAAGATGTTGTTTATATAAGTAAGCATAGAAATATTGAGATATGATTTTTAAAAAGGGAAAAAAGAAAATTGGGGCAAAAATTGTAATTGAGTAAAATGTATTTGAATTTGATAACTTGTATAAGATAAGATATGGCCAATACTCTGTTCAAAAAAGATGTCAGTGAATGTGGGAGAAAAAACCCAATAAAACTTGATTAAAAAAAACAACAACGTGTCAGAGTCCTGACCTCCCGGAGTTCATTACTCAGAACTATGACAATAGTTGGAGTGGAAACGTCTATATTAACCTGCACAGATGTGACTATATGTTTTCTTGCTTTCCTACTTAATCTTCCTCATGAGGTGACTTCTATTGTTCAGTTCTGGCCTCAGCACTATAACGTAGCATTTGGGGAGAAAGATAAAACTCAGCAGACCAGCCGCAGAGGCCAAGATGGAGAAGATCTCCACGGCCACCATGGACCTCCCTTTGGTGCTCAGATAGCTGGGGAGAAAGGAGACCCAGACACTGCAAAAGACCAGCATGCTGAAAGTAATGAACTTGGCTTCGTTAAAACTGTCTGGTAGTTTCCTGGCCAGAAAAGCCACTATGAAGCTGATGAGACTCAGGAAACCCATGTAGCTCAGAACAGCATAAAACATGGTGGTTGAACCTTCATTGCATTCCAACACGATTTCTCCCTTCACAGAATGAAAGTCCAAATTAGTAAATGGGGGGGAGATTGCCAGCCAAGAGGCACAAAGAGCTGTTTGCACGAGGGGACAGGCCAGGACTAAGACCAGCTGCTTCCCCAAGAGTTTTCTTGCCCTGTTTCCTGGCTTAGTAGCCATGAAGGCCAGAACTACAGTCAGAGTTTTTGCCAAGACAGATGAAATGGCAGTGGAGAAGACGATGCCGAAAGTGGTTTGTCGGAGGAGACAGGTGAGGTTCCTTGGCTGCCCGATGAAGAGGAAGGAGCAGAGGAAGCAGAGCAGGAGGGAGACCAGGAGAAGGTAGGTGAGGTCACGGTTGTTGGCCTTGACGATGGGTGTGTTGCAGTGTTTGATGAAGGCTGCCAACACGAGGATTGTGATCAAAGAGAAGAAAAGAGCTAGGGAAACTAAAATGAAGCCGAGTGTATCCTCATAGGAGAGAAAGTTCATGGTCTTGGGAATGCACAGGACGTGGTTCTTGTTTGGCTGTTGGTCTTCTGGGCAGGGGATGCATTGAGCCGCATCTGGAAGAACAGGCATCAGCTGACATTAGACAGAGAACCAGGGATTATCCTTGAGGGGAACTGTTTTCCCAATGAAAGAACTGAAATGCCCCATGCTCCCCATCTCTTTACTTCTGCTGCACACAACACAGAAGGATCCAGTGGAACCAGCAGCTAAAAACTTCTCAGGAGTAATTATATAATGAATGAATTGAATTGTTTTATTTTATTATTACATTTTGAAATTCCCATCTTCCATATCGAGGGACTCTGGGCAGTGCTCAATATTTATTTTATTTATTTATTTATATTTATATACCGCCCTTCTCCTGAAGGATGTGGGGCGGTGAACAGCCAAGATAAAACACAAGAAATACAAAATTTAAAAACAGTATTAAAATCCAATTAAATTAATTTGGACCACAATTAATAAAATATTAAAACATATAAACAGTACATAAAAGCTAAAAACTGCTGCTAACAACTTAAAGGATCCATTCAAGTTAAAAGTTCTGAATAACTTTCATGTTGATTTGTTCAACTGATTTGCCACCTCATATTGTCTCTCACTCCTCCCCAGCCAGCCACACCAGACCTCCTCATTCCTGCTTGTGGGTCTCCTCAAGAAACTTGCCTGTTTGATTAGAAATGGTCCCTTCTGGGCAAGAAGTACATCCGTAGCAACAAGAACGCTTCCCCTCTGCAACTTTCCTGGCTTGTCCTGGAAGGCAGCTCTTCACACATCGGGAGAAAGGCTTTGTCTGAAAGGAGAGTGAGATTAGCTTTGAGATGGAGAGCTTAGAAATGTTCAGATTGGCTTTGGGGTCTACATAAAAGCAGCCCCTCCTCTTCCTTCCCCTGAATAGAATTTGCGTCACAACAACCTGGTCCTTCCTCTCAGCCTTCCTGAACCCTGGAAACAACATCTACTCCCCACCTGATTGGCCCACACAATGGCGTCAGGGTTGATGCTGAAACCTTCAGCTGAAGGAGCCTCCGGATTGGCCCATCCGACTTTCTGTCGAAGAGTCGTCATATTTGCAAAGACGACCCAGTTGAGGATATCAAATCCTGCATATTTCATCCCAGTTTCTGAAAAGGAGACTTCCTCCCCAGCGGTGTTGTTGAAAAGGACCTTTCTCAGGAAAGCGTGCATCTGGAATGGCACAACAACCAAAAAAACAAAGTGTATGAAAATGAAGAGAATTATATCAAAGTTACAACTAAGCTGTAGATTGAAGCAAAGTTCTTTTTCCGGAGCTCCTAAATATTCAGTTTCAAAAACTGAAACTACAAATTATTCCCAAGGAAAACTAGGTGATTGGATCCTAATCTTAATCTTATTTCATTTCATTCTTTTATTTCTCCCTTTATCTTTATCTTAATCATCATCACAACCATGACTTTTCTACATTGTGATATCTAAAATAGAAATTTCAAGATTTGTAGAAGATCACAGGGAAATGTTTATGAATCTTAAAACAGTGTAAAGCTGTTTCCTTGACCAGAAGGGAAGATCTGAAGATGAGAGTTACCTGCCAGGACTTCATAGAGAGGTGAAAGTCTGACTTCTTTCTGCCCCTCTTCAATGCCCACTTTGATTCCAAAGTATATGCAGCATGTAATGCATGTGCCACAGAATAGGCAGCATTGTAGACGCTGTAGCTGAAACCGGTCATCTTTCCATCAAAGACGGAGATCGGGAGAGTGCCCAGGTTCTCCTCCCCTGTGCAAACCCTTCGGCCATCAGGTGAGGCCACACCTGCCTTCAAAACCTCACAGTCAAATACAACTTCCCACCATTCGGGGAGAAAGACGTCTCCATGGGGTTCAGGTAGATTCAGAGCCCAGAGATAATCTTTGAATCCTGGCACCGGGTTTGTATGGACTGTGAAAGACAAAGCACCATGGAAGGATTTTAGTTTGCCCCACTCGTAGTGATAGCCAATAGCTGAAAATTCCCATTGGGTGGTCAGGATCCAGACCTTCCCACAAGAAGTGTTGTTCTCTTCTTCATAATAGGAGAGGGATATTAAAAGGCTTTGCAGAATGGTTGAAACCCCGGAGATAATCACAACCTGAGCATCACTGTTCAAAATTGGCCAAAGCATATCTATTTGTGCACTGGTCAATTCATTGAATATTGAGATATGGCGGATGATTTGTTTTACAAAGTGTATGCAGATGTCATTCTGGGCAAGGGTGGCGTCAAACATCCGGATGAAATCATCACTGCTCTCTGACTTCTGAACAACGATGCCAATCCAGTTCCACTGGAAATACAGAAAGAGCTGGACAATGGCTGCATTCTGTAAGTGATACTGAGGATCGATTTGGTAGAAGGTGGGGAACCGGCTCTTATCCCTCAAAACAGGGTCAGAGAAGCGGTAACCTAGCTGAAGAGATGGTAGGGATGGAGGAAAAAGAAGTGAAAGAAGGAAAATGATACCTGTATTTTTTGTTACTAATCTCAGATCATCTGGACTAGCAGGTATCCTATTCTAGACCCAAATCCTCACAACTTTGGACCTTCATAAGATATTTTCTTCTGGTCATAGAATTGGCTCTGTGAGTTGTTGGCAGTAACCGCATAAGGCACAACAATGATGAAAACCACCAAGAGCCTTGCTGGTGTAGCGGTCTAAAGTGCTGTTATGTTAGCACTTAGCTGCCGGCTGCGTGCAATTAGTGTGAGTTCAAATCTCACCAGGCTCAAGGTTGACTCAGCCTTCCATCCTTCGAGGTAGGTAAATTGAGGACCCGGATTGTGGGGGCAATAAGCTGACTTGTGTAAAAACAACACCGCTTAGACGGGGCCGAAAGCCCTAATAAGCGGGTATATACAAAAGTATGACAGCTATTGCTATAATGCATTGTAAGCCACCCTGAGTCTATGGGGTAGGGCGGCATATAAATTGAACAAATAAATAAATAAATAAATAAATAAACTGCCTGGAATGCATATAGGTAAATGTAAAAAAAAAAAGGTGGGGATGACATTGCCATAGTTCAGTGATGGTAAACCTTTTCGGCATCGAGTGCCGAAAAGGGCGCACACACATCTGGGCCACAATCCAGAGAGGACTTTCCCAGGGCACATGCATGTGCCCGAAAATGAACTTCTGGTTTTTGGCACGTGCATGCATACTCGCCAGCTAGTCTTCCGGGTTTCTGGCATGGATGTGCTCATGACAATCAGCTGGCCGGCACCCATGCTCATGCAGGAAAATGGAAGACCAGCTATTCCAGTTTCCGGCACTGCCATATGCAAAAAGGCCAGCTGATCATCGTAGGTGGATGATGCCAGAAACCTGGAAGAGGAACAGGTGAGGAACTTTTTGTTAGTCAGATAACTAAGGTATGTAAGAAGCACACCACAATAGTAATAGGGGATTTTAATTCCCTGACATCAACTGGGAGACAAACTGCACAAAGCAGAAGATCAAGCAGGTTCCTGACAAACCTAGCAGACAACTTTGTTTCCCAAAAGGTAGAGAAGGGAACAAAGGGATCAGCATATTGGATTTAATTATCACTAACAGAGATAAAATGATAGAAGGTGTTGAAGCTACAGAAACCTAAGAGAGCTAATTTCAATAAACTTAGAGAGAGCTTGGGAAGGATTCCATGGATGAGAATCCTCAAGGGGAAAACAACTCAAGAAACTTGAGAAAGTTTGAAAAGGCAGAATATCAGCAAATAGCCTGAGCCTGCAAAGATGAAGTGAGGAAAGCTAAGGCTCACAACAAACAAAGGCTTGTGACAAAAGTAAAAAATACCTCAAAAAAGTTTCTTCCAAAATGTTAAAAACAAGAAAAAATTCAAGGAAACAATTGGTCCATTGCTGGGAGAAAGTGGCAAGAAGGTGACAAGCAACAGGGAGAAAGACCAACTACTTAACTCATTTTTTGCTTCTGTCTTTACACAAAGGAAAAAATCAGTCCAACCTATCAAAAACAGCACCATAAAAAACAGATTAGGAGCACAATTTAAAATATGAAAGAAAATGGTAAGTGAACACCTGTCTACCTTAGACAAGTCCAAATCACCAGGACTGGATGGATTACACCCCAAGGTTCTGAAGGAACTGGCAGATGTGATCTCAGAACCATTGAACTATATCATTCAAAGATCCTGGAGGAACAGGCAGTTGCTAAAGGACTGGAAAAGAGCTGCTGTAGTTCCCACATTCAAAATAGGGGGAAAAAACAGAACGAGGTACCAACAGACCCATCAGCCTGACCTCAATACCAGGGAAGATTCTGGAAAAGATAATCAAGCAATGAATCAGCAAACACCTAGAAGCAAACAAAGTAATAACCAAAAACCAACATGGCTTTGTCAAAAACAGATCATGCCTGACTTATTTTATTGCATTCTTTGACAAAGTGACAAAATTAGTGGACCAGAGGAATACTTTCGATATAATTTGCTTGGACTTCAGTAAAGCATTTGATAAAGTAGACCATAACCTACTACTTGATAAAATAGAAAAAATGGATTAGACAGCATCACCACCAGATGGATTCGTAACTGGTTGACCAACGACACTCAATGTGTAGTCCTCAATGGAACTGCATTTACACGGAGGGAAGTATGCAGTGGAGTACCCTAAGGCTCTATTTTAGGCCCAGTACTCTTCAACATCTTCATCAATGATTTGGATGAGGGTATTAATGGGAAACTCATCATATTTGCAGATAACACCAAGCTAGCAGGAATAGCCAAAACTCTGGAAGATAAGATACAGAAGGATTTTGACAGACTTGAACATTGGGTGCTATCTGACAAAATGAAATTCAATGGTGAAAAAAGTAAGGTTCTACATTTAGGCAAGAAAAAAAATGCTCAGGTATAGTATATGTGGTACCTTGCTCAATAGCGGTGACTGTGAGAGGTATCATGGAGTCCTAGTGGACCATCACTTAAATATGAGCCAGCCATGTGCTGCAGCTGCCAAAAAAGCCAACACAGTTCTAGGCTGCATAAACAGAGGGATAGAATCAAGATCACGTGAAGTGTTAATACCACTTCATAATTCCTTGGTAGGGCCACTCATGGAATACGGCATCCAGTTTTGGTTGCCATGATGTAAAAAAGATGTGGAGTCCCTAGAAAGAGTGCAGAATAGAGCAACAAAGATGATTAGGGGACTGGATGCAAAAACATATTAAAGAATAGTTGCTGGAATTGGATATGTCTAGTCTTATGAAAAGAAGGACGAAGAGTGACAAGCAGTGGTGAAATCCAAATTTTTTTTACTACCGGTTCTGTGGGCATGGGTGTGGTGTGGCTTGGTAGGCATGGCAGGGGAAGGATACTGCAAAATCTCCATTTTGAGAGAAAGAGAAAGAGACAGAGAATGAAAGAGAGAGAGAGACAGAATGAAAGAGAGAATCAGAGAGAAAGGGAGAATCAGAATGAGAGAGAGAGAGAGAGTGTGGGAGAGAGAGAGAAAGAGTGAAGGGGAGACAGAGAGAAAGAGAGAGTAAGAGAGAAAGAGTGGGAGAGAGAATGAGTGGGAGAGAGAGGGGGGACTAGAAGACCTTCAAGGTCCCTTCCAACTCTGTTATTCTGTTCTTTTCTTCTGGTCACAGAATTGGCTCTGCAAGTTGTTGGCCGTAACCACACAAGACAGAATTTACAGCATTCCCCCTTTCATCATGTTGCATGTCCAGGTACCTGAGAAACCTTGAAATTGCCAAACACGGTTGCCATCTGGTATGAAGTTTCGGAGCTGAGGCCACCAAGGACAGAGACAAGGTTGTCCTCTGTGTCACACTTATAGTTAGGAAACACTTTTCCCCGGCTGGAGAGCAGAGATAGGCTGACATCTGGAGTCATGCTTGCATGATGGTTCTCTTCGTAGATGCGGAAGCCCAGAGTGATGTTGGGGAGAAGATGTGGGTCTCTGTTGATCTCCTGAATGGCAAATGCCAAAGCCAGAATGTGTTGATAGTTCTTGGGAACAGGTCTTTGTCGCAAGTGTTAGAGGACAAGAATTAGACAGGAGCAGGAAGGAGGTGTTTATTTTGTTAACAAAGCATTATCAGGATTCTAGAACAGATCAATATAAATGAGTTGATTTATGTTACTGGTGTCAGAAAACAGGGCTGCTGTCAATCAGTTGATCCTGTTCTTATTGTCAACAGTGTATGCCACATCCTCTTCTCCTCTCTCTGCGGTACATTTAAGTGAGTTATAATTTAGAGCATGAGTTCAATTCAAGTCAGTATTGACTTTTCCAAAATTTTCAGTATAGTTAAAGAAATGTGGTTGAGTCTCTTGATAAAACTACACATTTTATTATATCCAGTCACAGAAATATTAAAAGCTGACATCTTCTGTCCTATGTTCCCAAGCATTTTCCCCCAATCTGGCACCCTATCATGTTCTCGGAGTCCTTTTGAATTAGGTGGCTTTCTAAATCCAATAAATTATATTAAATTGAATTAAATTGAACGTCTGATCAGGTTGACTTTTTCTAGATAGAAATGATGATGCCAGTATATCTGAATGGCTCAAGTTAGAAAAAAACAGTTTTAGTGTCTCTGAAGGTGGAACTCTTTCTGTTGGGGGTTCTCCAAAGAAACTCACTCCTCTGACCTAGAAGTGCTAGATTTAACAAGAGATTGGTGGGACAAAAGACAGACCCTCACTATGTGGAATGTAATGTAAGCATGAAGGATCCCAAAGGTGCTTTTTTCAGGAGGCAACTGGACTTTCTTCTTTTTTCTTTTGAAAACGTTTCGCTACTCATCCAAGAAGCCTCTTCGGCTCTGACAGGAAGTGGGGAATGGAAGGATTTACACTCCTTGAAGACAGCTGGTTATTTAGAGGGTCATTGAAGCACTTGGAAAAAACTGTAGACTCCAGGAACCAGGACCACTGCTGAGGTGACCCTGAGGACACAGATAAACCCTCCAAG